ATTTTTATAGAGGGAAGGGGCGGAGGACAAATGAGAGAAGTCTGTAGCTGCCTGTTGTCCGTGGCATGGAGGTGGGGTCATGATGACACTGTGAGGATACACAGAGCTTACAGGGTTACGCCTCAGGGAAATGACGTCCTGTCACTGGGGGTGTGCTCGCATCTCTTCTTATGTGAATGTCTTTACTTTCTCTGTTGGCTGCGATGGGAGAAGCATCATGTCTTTGCTCTCTCCTGGCTGTATGTTTATTTGTTTTGCTGCTGTACAATAAAGCTTCGTGGAATAGAGAAGCTGCTGTATGAGAGTTTTACTGCAAGGCTGAGATTCCTTCCACACAGGCACAACGCTGCGCAAGATACTCTGCTGTAGCCAGGAGAAGCAGGTTGGCACAGAGGAAGCGGACTGGGCACCACAACAGTCCCGCTGTTCGCAGCCTTGGCGGACTCTCATTGGAACAGAAACAGCATGGGGCACACAAAACTGATGCCTGCCCTGTCTCAGGAAGTGGCGGTGTTATGAATGCATGGCCTCCAACATTTCTTAGATGAAAATAGGGACATTTATCATTTCCCCCAACTGACCTTACTAGACCCCCCACTTTGTCTCCCCCCTGCAGAGCATTTCCTAGCAGAAGAATGGCGAGTGCTGCTACCAGTGGGACACAGCACACATGCTTTCAACCATCCTAAGGAAACCCCTTAATATGTATTGTATTGTATTGTATTGTATTGTATTGTATTGTATTGTATTGTATTGTATTATTTTTTCTTTGGTAGATTTATAAAAAGAAAAACACACACCAGTAAATAACTGCAGGATTAGACGTGGATGCACAAAGCATTTTTTTAAAAATAGAAATTAAGATATGGAACAGCCACATGGATGTTATTGGCCCAGAGTTGGAAAGATGTCAAAGTCCCTAGCAGAGAAGAGTGGGAAACCATGACTATGCCGAGATGGCAAAGCTGACGGGAAACCTCATAGACCAAGAGGATACAAACTTCATAAAAGAATGGGAAAAATTTGTAAGTTATCTAGGAGACCACTGTAAGCAGATGGAAACAAGAGCAGGATTTTGACTCACTTGTAGTGTAAAAAGCATTATGGACAATATGGTTTGATATAAAAAAAACTGGAGTACGGACTAATGTGCAGTTGTAGATGTTCAAAATAAGACTCCATGGATGGGATGGGGGAAGTCTTGAGATTTCAGTATGACTTTATTGATGTGTGTTTATTTGTACTCTTTATTAGTAAAATAAAAATGTATTGCAAAATAAATTGAAAAGAAAATAAGATTCCTTGTGCTCTGCTTCCCTTTCTTCCCTCCAAGGCTACCTCTTGGAGCTGGCATGTCATATGAGGCTTGGCCTTGGTGGTTGTTGCTTCCAACTCCTCCTTGCTCACTCTCCAAGCAGCCACTATGAGCTGCCCAAGGAAGGAGGCCATCAGTGGAGGCCATGGAGATGCCATGGAGAGGCCATGGGATGCTCCCTCGCAGTCACAGCCTGTGCTGGCTATCACTGATGGAAGTTGGAGCTCAAGACATTTGGAGTGTATCAGGTTGGGAAAGGCTGATCTAGGTAGTGTAGCACTTGCTTCAACACAAAAATATACTCCTCTGAAAGGAAATTGTGCCAACTGGCAGCTGAATGTTTTTTAAGCCTGCAAGAATGATGTTCTTTTTCAAGAACAACGATAACGCGTCCCTTTAAATCCCTCCCCTTTGGCCGTTATCTGCTCCATCCTTAGCCAAATGATATCTAAATACCAGGGCTGTCTTAAGCTATGCGGCGCCAGGGTGCAAAGATCCGCTCAACGCCCCTCCCAGTTGCCCAGTCCCAGGCACGCAGGAGGGCGGAGCCAGCCAGCTGCCTCAGTGTCTCGCTGGCTCGGTCGCCCCTGAACTCACGGCGCAGAGCCTCCCGCAGCAGCAGAGCCCGCTGTGGAGCTCTGACCAATGGGCGGGCTCTTCCCCGGACTCAACTCTCGGGCCCTGGACTCTTGGCCTGGTGCCCCTGAGAGCCTGGCGCCTGGGTGCCCCGCACCCCTAGCACCTATGGGTAAGACGGCCCTGCTAAATACATGAAGCTGCATTTGCTCCCTTTCTGCCCCCGCTATTCTCCTCTGCTCCACCCCGCTCCTCAGTTGAATGTAGATTGTAAAATTCCTTTTTGGAGATCTTGCCTAGTTTGCTGTGCTCCTCTGTAAAATGCCAATTGACCTGGATGGTACTGAAGAAATAAATGATCATTATGCTAAATTCATTGTTGATGAAACCTACAGAAAGAGATCTAGCAAAACACATAAACGGCAACGCTAGAGTTTTATTACAATATTTTATTATGTGTCTCTGTAAGGGAAAAGACCAACAACCATATAAAAGCTTACAAGATGGTTAACCTCCAACACTATAAATGTGTTAATGTGACAAAAGAAGCTCACGATTTTGCATCTTTATTGACTTTTTACAGAGGGAAGGAAGAAAAGCCCTCAGCAATGGCCTACCGACGATACGACTTTTGATGAGAGACATTTACAATTGTTGTCAAGCCTTGATGTTTTAACGCAAGCCAATAAACCTGGCTTGCAGATTTAGAAGTGGAAAAAATCACACAACTAGCACCATCACATTAATCTTTTTACACTTCCCTAATTTTAGTGGTCTGACCAGCAATGACAGGAAAGTATAGGAGCACCCGGTAAAAATAAAATCAAAAACATCACACAATGCAGTCCAGCAATAAAATTATATTAGTCTGTTGACACTAGGGGCATTCACTTCTTCAGATGGACTGTACTCTGTTCATCAAAAATCAGTACAGAAACAAAACCACCTGACCAGATGTATTCATTGGTTCCAACATCTTTTGAGTTGGTTCTCTTGGTGTGAATCATCAAACTCATCCCAGTTTCTGTCCATGTTGAGGTAGTTGAAACGGGGAATTCTCTCTAGCTTTATGAACTGCATCTTATATTGGAGGGCAAACTTGGATGCTGGAATCCGTCAGTGCTTGATTGGTGGGCAAGCATTCAATTATAATTACAGTTTTGCTGTACTGAGTGTTGAGGTTGTAATGTAGCACCATGGAGATACTGTTGGAAGGGGGTTTTTTCCCAATTTGGTGAAAGAAACAGCAGAAGGGATTTTGTTGCATGTCGTGTAAAGAGCAAAAATAAGAAAATGGTATTTTTTATCTCAATTTATCTCTTTCCTCCCTCTCTCCAGAATTTTTTTTGCAAATAAATAACTGGGATACAGTTGATTTGACTCTTAATAGCTGACAAGGTTAAGACAAGAAGAGCAAAGATGGGAGTGTGAATTTGTTTGTTGGGGTTCGGAATGAGCATGATTCTCGGGTTTATAAGAAGCAAACCGGGCCAATGTCCACACCAAATTCTTGATTGGGAGCGCCGATATCGAAGGGTGCGATATCTATCACCGGCAACCGCATTGTCTTGCGTGTTCTGTATTCAAAGACGGTTCGGCCCCATTCATCAGTGTGTTTCTGTGAAATGCAAAGCAGAAAGTGCTTTTATAAAGGTTTGATTAGCGACACTTTGGATTAATATCTATCAGGCTCTTCCATAGTGGAAGGAGGAAGTATGAACGACCCATCGTGATTCTCCTCCCCAGACTTCTGAGTCACATGTGAGGGAGAAAATGCATATTATTATTATTATTATTAGTAGTAGTAGTAGTAGTAGTATTAATCAGCAGCAAGTAGAATTCAGTGCATACTGCCTTTGATAAAGAAAGTAGCACGCAACCATCTTGACTTGCAGCCATTGATAGCCTTGCTATTCCCATTGACAGCCTTATTCATCAGTCCAATCTGAGCTGGGGGTAGCTCACTGGTCACTGGTCACCCAGTGAAGCGGATGAGATGTCTGTACATAACTATATGTGTGGAAGCCTGAATCAAAGTTTCCGCCACCCTGCTAGCAAACATTGCCCCAAAGTTTTACTTTCCTGTTCCACTTCTCACTCTTGTGATCAGCTCCTATATAGTCAGCTAGGGAAAATGCAAAAGTTCTTCTGCACTATAAAATCCAATCGAAAGATATAGCTATAAATTTAAGGCTCTTTAAAACGCACAAGATGAGGAGTGAGTGTGGCGTTTGCCTCCTAGGTGGGTCATAAGGAAAGGGTTAAATGAGTGTGTGATGTGATTGGCCAGTGGGAATGCAAGGGAGGAGTAAAAGTTAGAGTGGGAGGTTTTGAAAGTTAGTGGAGGTTTGGGAGTTGAAGAAGGGAGAGGGAGGATTAGGTGTGGGTTGGTAGAGTTGTATTGTGAGAAAGTGAGAGGAATTGTCAGGTGGAGTCAGATAGATAGTTGGGAATAATCAGTTTGGAGTTGTTAGGAACTAAGATTAAGAAACTGCCAAGAAAAATTAACTGGAACCATAAGCTTGTTCCTGCATTTAAAAATAAACTTGATTATTTGTTAATGTTAACAACTGACCGGACTCCTTGTGTCCCCGTGAGATACGGGGTGGTGGCAGCAGAAAAAGCAATCGCAGTGGTGGCACAGGGTCAATAGACCGTCAAACGTCCGGGGGCCCTGTGTGATCGCCACAGTGAGCATAGGAGGTTTGCGAAACCGAAATTTCATGATGGAACAATGAACCGAATCTCAATTTTGTTTTGCAGTGCTGGGATTCTGTTTACTTACAGTACAGCCATCTTCCAGGACGGTGTATGTGAACTTGCTGTTTCCTTCTGCCTTGATTTCGCTGTCAGTAGAACTCATCATCTTCAGGGCTCTCTTCACATTCCCGCTGGCCTCGTCCATGTAAGCTATACTGTTTTTGCAGTGATAGGTGATATTCTGAGATGCTCGGCTAGAAAGAATTCTAAGGAAGGCCAGCTGAACGTCTGCAACTTCTTCTGGAAGATCTGGGTCTCCGTAGCTGAACTGTGGGGCAAACACAAAAGGCTTGTTTGTTGTAGACTGTTGTAGACTGCAAAGGCAGTCTGTGCACCAAAACCAAAGCCATGCTAGGCTCTTGCCATGAGGTTGGAAGAGTTTTCCCCAGTTTTTAAAGACCACCACCCCATCACCACCATTGGAAACAATGGAGAGGAAATAAAAGTCAAGAAATGATACCAGCTCCAGAGCTGGCAAAGGTTGTTCCTTGATTTGGGTGGGGGGGATCCTTCCAATCAATGCCTTCCCCCAGTACACCCCCCTTTTAAATTCAAGAGTATAAATTTGGAAATATATATAGATACCCATGCACGTAACATTATATTTTAACATATTTTTGAAAATCAGCGTTAGCAATGCAATAAACATCTGATAAAAATGGCAAGGGCCATGGAAGTTGCTATGGTGGTTGGGAGAGAAGAGAATTATGTTTTTCATTCAATTAGAAATGGATACAGAATTAGCTTTCTTGAGAAGCAATTTAATTACACTCTCCAGTCAAGGTTTGCTTGTCCTAATAATAATAATATTAATGATAATGATGATAAAACAGCAACAATTTATACCCCACCCATCTGGCTGGGTTTCTCCAACCACTCTGGGTGGCTCCCAATAGAATATTAAAAACATGATAAAGCATCAAACATTAAAAATTTCCCTAAACAGGGTTGCCTTCAGATGCCTTCTAAAAGTCAGATAGTTGTTTATTTCCTTGATATCTGATAGGAGGGTGTTCCACAGGGCTGGTGCCACTACTGAGTAGGCCCTCTGCATGGTTCCCTGTAACCTCACTTCTCACAGTGAGGGAACCGCCAGAAGGCCCTCGGAGCTGGACCTCAGTGTCCGGGCTGAACGATGGGGTGGGAGACGCATCATTCTTCTTACCTGGAAGCCTCCATTCATAGACTCTCCAAACCAAATATGTTTCTTTTCAGGTCCTGGGCTTGTCCACCAGTTCTTCTTTGGAACACTCATAGGATTAGCACTGATGCACGTCTCCCCAGTTTCCATATTGCAGTATACTTTAATGGCGTCCAATTTGCAACCTTGGTTGGGATCGATCCAGTATTCCCCTAAAGTGACAAAGCAAAAGGACATTCTTTAACCTGGGATTAGATTCTTCCTTACGCTGGATGCCAAAGGCTTCTGTTGCCTTGTGGGGTTACTTTGGGAAGAATACAAACCTAAACGATAATATTACTCTACACTTGTATGCTCTTAACGTTTGCTGGGTCATATTTAGTACTGTTAATCTTTACACTTCCTTCAAAGTCTAATTCAACTGAATAACAGCTACACATTCCCCCGACACATTTCTTCATTATCAGGAACATCAAGCACTTTGGTAATAATAATAATAATAATAATAATAATAATAATAATAATAATACCCTGCCAATCTGACTGGGTTGCCCCAGCCACTCTGGGCAGCTTCCAGCATATACAGAAACAGAATAAAACATCAAACATTATAGTTATAGGATCCCAAGCCCTATTATTTCCACAATTTGCCTGCAATCCAGCCCTGAAACTATTCCAGACTTGGAGCTAATGTAGTTAATTGCCTCCTGTTGTGGCTAAGTGCAGGAATCAGCCACTAGTCGATCCCTCCTTCTCCCCTCTTCATGGAAATATATAATATGATTACACTGAGCATTACATTGTGCAGCATCATTTGCTGTCATTGATTAAGAAATGCATAGTGTACCAAAGGAGCACCACATTTTATATTACTAGTCTTTACCAGAAAGAGAGGGAAAAGAGATCTATGGGGCAGTTCTGTGTCCCTCGCGATGCCTGATTCTTTTCTTGAGACTGCATATTTCTCACTGACTTCTCTATGACCTGGATCAGAACAGAAATGAACATACCGCTCTTAAGTTCAGGATGGCAGAACTTCAGATCTCTGCAATTCCGAGCTGGGTTCTTCCGTGAGCCATCGGGGCTAACAATGTTTTCGATTTGGTTGTTGATTGACTTCAGCGAAGTTAAAATATCGCTCATGGCTATTTTGTCCTCATCTGGCTGGTCTCTGTAGTAGGATGGTCCTTTTTCAAGGTTCTCTGGGCCACCACCTCCGCAGCATGGACCAGGAGCTCCAGGTTGACCAGGAGGCCCTGGAGGACCCCATGACCCGCAGGACCCTAGAAAATAAAACAAGCCCCGCCCATAACTCAAAAATGCACCATGTACATTAGTTCATCTGTACACTCAAAGAAAAGGACCAGTCAGTGTTACTGGCACTTTTAGCCTTGTGCTGCAAGACACCAGGCTCATAATCTCCACCGAGGGTTGGACTCAATATTTATCCTTTGGTCAAGCTTATCTTTGATCTGGTCTTGTATGTGGCTATTTCAGTGGCGCGTGGTGATTTTTTAAAATACTTGAACAGTTAGGGCCAGCATGTGAAGGCGATTGAGGGGGGGGATGAGTGTCATACCTCCCTCCCTAAACCAGGCAGAAGCTTCCCAGGCTTTGGAAAGAAGACACTAGGCTTTAATGCTTTAATACTTTTATTTACTGGGAACATTTAGGGGACTAGCTTAGTTCCCCTATTCCACTAACCACATGACACTGGGCTATTTAGATAGGAAAGGTTTCAGACTAGTCCTCTCCCCAGTGATATTTCAGTCCATAACTGTGTCTTGTTTAATAATAATAATAATAATAATAATAATAATAATAATAATTTATTATTTATACCCCGCCCATCTGGCTGGGTTTCTCCAGCCACTCTAGGCAGCTTCCAACAGAATATTAAAATACAATAACCTATTAAACATTAAAAGCTTCCCTAAACAGGGCTGCCTTCAGATGTCTTCTAAAAGTCTGGTAGTTGTTTTTCTCTTTGACATCTGGTGAGAGGGCGTTCCACAGGGCGGGTGCCACTACTGAGAAGGCCCTCTGCCTGGTTCCCTGTAACTTGGCTTCTCGCAGTGAGGGAACAGCCAGAAGGCCCTTGGAGCTGGACCTCAGTGTCCGGGCAGAACGATGGGGGTGGAGACGCTCCTTCAGGTATACTGGACTGAGGCCATTTAGGGCTTTAAAGGTCAGCACCAACACTTTGACTTGTGCTCGGAAACGTACAGTCACCCAATAGAAACAGCAGATATAATAATCATTATCTATTTATTCTATTCTATTCTATTCTATTCTATTCTATTCTATTCTATTCTATTCTATTAATCCTTCTATTTTATCATCATACTGATGAAATACACAAGAACCCGGCTTGAGCTTTGTGAGCAATAAATCTGAATAAATCTGAATAGTGAGGCCAGCTGGATAGACACCTTCACTTTCATTGTAACTGGCTGTGCATGTGGCCAGTTGTAGTGCGGAAGCTGTCTGTTTAGTGCCACCTACTTCCCACACTCAGGATTGGGTACCATAACTGTGGCTCAGGTACAGCTCTCATAAGGAAAAGCCATTTGCCTGAAATTCAGCATGGTCAGGCTAAACTCTGCAGCTTTTATTTTTACCACTCTTTATTGAGAAGCGCTGTTCAGATCCTTTTGGGCACAAACTTCTTGTCAAGTCTTGTGCTAGGCTCCCAGACGGTATGGAGACTAGCTTTCAAGATGATGCTTCTCACTTTTCATCATCTGATTCCCTTACCGGAGCACCAGATTCGCCTCTGCTTCCACGAGGACCTGGAGGGCCCAATGGGACCTGGGTAGCCACTTGTACCATCTTTTCCAGGTGGGCCATTTGGACCAGGGGACCCTAAACAGAAGAGGAAGGAGGAGGAGGAGGAGGAGGAGGAGGAGGAGGAGGAGGAGGAGGAGGAGAAAGTTAGTTCTCTCTCAACTGTCTAGCCATAATTTGAGAATGCATTCAGGTTGGACAGAATCAGCAGGTTACTTACTCTTGCACCAGCAGGTCCTGGGCTTCCACTTGGACCTTGGGGACCCAATGCACCCTGTCAAAAAAATAATAATGATTTAGATCTAGTAAAATCCAGTTTTTACATTCTTTTCTTTACATTGGAACACCTGTATTGTTGCACTCACTACAAGATCTGGCAATCCATAGAAGATGAATATATATATATATATATCTACAGCTATTCGGCATGCAAGTTAACTGGAACATCAAACTCCAAAGGTAGAACCTCTCTAGATATCAGATGCATGACATCAGGTATGGGACAAGCAAGGGTGGGGCTTCAAAAGAACAAACTGGGAGCTTAAATTGAAATCCTGATTGTTCATTTTGCTGCAGCAAGGCATGCTCCCCCTGCTCATCCAGCTGAGATGGGTGGATTTATGCCTTGCTCCAGGAGGGGAAAGTAGTTTCCATGGGATAGTGCTTCTCCTCACAGCACTGCTCTTTCCAATCTCTGAAACCTAGAGATTCAAATAGCAATGCAGGGATGTTTGCAAAAGGGCTTTCCGGCAGCTCTGTGCTGCACTTTGACGTCCCGAAAATCAGGGCTTCAAAGTGCAGCATCACCTGACACCATCATGACCTCATGTGACTGACAGGTGGGTGGCCTTGCATAGCTGTCAAATGTGACCCACTGAGGTGGGGAGACAATAATCTAGCTTGACAGCCAGAAAAAGATCCCCACCTCTGAGCTATTACACTGGCCAGGTCAAATATAAATAAAATGGTTCTCTAATTTTCATTATTACAGTTTTGTATGGGACCATAAGCTATGTTAATGTGCATGGTTTAGAAGCTAAATGTTCTCGGAATTAAATACAACTTGAATGCTTCCATTCTAGAATATAGGTGGTACCAGTCGCTTTAAAGGTAGGTAACTCAGGGATTATCTATTGATTTCAGCATTGGCTCCACTGATCAATAATGTTAGCTGGACTTAAGTCCTATTGAAATCAATGACACAATTCCATGTTTACATGGATTTCAAGGAGGCTTAAGTACAACAAACTTCCTCTGGCTTAGAGCCATTGTACATATGGGGTTAATCAGAAAAGTGAAATGCCATTTTCTAATTTCTTTGTTGTTTTGAATGTGACCTACCCATTAATGAGTGGTCTATTAATGCCAGTAACAAAACAGTAAGGAGTTTCTCTCATGCATTGCTGCCAAGGATACTGGGATATCCCAAAAGGTTCGACTTTACTCCTACAAAAATGAAATAATTATATTCCCAAGTGATATTGCTAGGCATGTTTCCTCCACGAAACATAACGAAGGCTCAGGAAACAGGTTGGTAAATTCCAAAAACGCCTGCAAAATCACTCCTGGTTTCCTCTGCCAAAACATTAAATTGTACATCATTTGGTGGATAATCCAGGCACTGTAGGGATCACTTGTGATACTTTTCGTTCTTGTCAAAGTTACATATTGTGCTAAACACTGGGGTCATGAAACAAATCCAGCATTTCCCCCCTCTTATGCAAGGAAGGCAGGAGAGTTCTGCAAACTTACACTTGGACCAGGGGGTCCGGGGTTACCAGGGAATCCTCGGTGACCCTTCATCCCATTGCTGCCACGTTCACCGGCTTCACCTTTGTCACCACGTGCACCCGCAGGGCCCTTTTAGAAGCACATTGACAAAGAGTTCTCATAAGAGTATACTTGGGTTTAATGAGAACTAGCAATATAATAACAATAATTTATTATTTATACCCCGCCCATCTGGCTGGGTTTCCCCAGCCACTCTGGGCAGTTTCCAACAAAACACTAAAATACAATAACCTATTAAACATTAAAAGCCTCCCTAAACAGGGCTGCATTCAGATGTCTTCTAGAAGTTTGGTAGTTATTTTCTCTTTGACATCTGGTGGGTGGGCGTTCCACAGGGCGGGTGCCACTACTGAGAAGGCCCTCTGCTTCTTGCAGTGAGGGAACTGCCAGAAGGCCCTTGGTGCTGGACCTCAGTGTCCAGGCTGAACGATGGGGGTGGAAACGCTCCTTCAGGTATACTGGGCCGAGGCCATTTAGGGCTTTAAAGGTCAGCACCAACACTTTGAATTGTGCTCAGAAACATATTGGGGAGCCAGTGTAGGTCTTTCAAGACTGGTGTTATATGGGCTCGGTGGCCACTCCCAGTCACCAGTCTAGCTGCCGCATTCTGGATTAGTTGTAGTTTCCGGGTCACCTTCAAAGGTAGCCCCACATAGAGCACATTGCAGTAGTCCAAGCGAGAGATAACTAGAGCATGCACCACTCTGGCGAGACAGTCTGCGGGCAGGTAGGGTCTCAGCCTGCATACCAGATGGAGCTGATAAACAGCTGCCCTAGACACATAGTGTCAGGGGCATCGGAGCTAGAGGCGAAGGGAAGGCCTCAGATGATGCTGGAGAAGGGCCCAGCAGGGGGAGAGGCAGCTCAGTAGAGGGGGAAGCAAATCAGCGCAACACCAGGGATAAAGGGGGGCAGATGGGGGAATCGGCGAGAGGGCTCCAGGACTCTTCACTGGACACCAGCGGGGAGAGCACAGGTCCTCCGCTACCCACGCCCTCCCTGCGCAGAAGACTTCCGCGCAGTGAGAGGAGGAGACTGGGCGTCAAACAACTTTTATGTTGGAAGAGGTTTAAGAAACGCCCACTGACGGATTCTGCTAGTGACTGAGGCAGCCACGGTGAGAAGGGCTGTCCAGTCAGAAAGGTTTAACAAGGCAATTTAGCCTGGAGCTTACGCCTGGAGCTTACGCACGAGCAACCCATGCGCATTACACATATATACAAAGTTCTGAAGCAGAGACTTACAGGAGCACCACGGGCACCGGCAGGGCCAGTGGGGCCGACTGGACCAGCAGGTCCCTGTAACAAACAACAACAAAGGATTATGTCTATGCCGAGCATCAATTTTCTGGATATAAACTGGATGTGTCACAAAACAGAGAAAACATTCACATCTCTACTATTAAGCTCCCAAATATATTAGCAAACATAATGAACAAACATCACTTCAATGACTTCCATTTTCAAAAAAAAACATGTATGCTCAGGGCTTTTTTCGGCCAGAACTAATTGGAACTCAGCTCTGGCACCTCTCAGGTGGGTGCCGTTGCCATTACAGTGGTACCTCGGGTTACAGACGCTTCAGGTTACAGACTCCGCTAACCCAGAAATAGTACCTCGGGTTAAGAACTTTGCTTCAGGATGAGAACAGAAATCGTGCAGCGGCGGCGCAGCGGCAGCAGGAGGCCCCATTAGCTAAAGTGGTGCTTTAGGTTAAGAATAGTTTCAGGTTAAGAATGGACCTCCATACTGAGGTACCTGAGGTAACCACTGAATAAGAGAAAAGGAGTCATTCATGGTGGCATTCCGGCACCTCTTGTTCTAGAAAATAACACTTTGTAGGCAGCATAGTTTTTCACAGTGCCCTCAGGTCATGTTGGTGTATGCCCCTGGATTTAACTTGGAGTGGCTTTTCATTGGGAAAAATGGCAGTAGGTAGTTGAAGAAACCAAATTCAAGTTGTTTTCAGTGGAGGAAATTCTGTTCTAGAGCACTAGAGTATGACACATGGTCACATCCCACTGTTTTCAGCATTTCAAAGGAAATGGCATTACAAATAACTACC